CTCTATGCTATTTCCTCCCCGATCTGACTTATCAGTGTATACACAACATGTCTCTTTACTGAAATCAGTTATTTTAATGATTAAACCCTCTGATTCAATGATTGTGTTTACCAAATATATCATGGAACATCATTGACAATGATATCGTACCTTTCTCGTCTAGTGCGTGCCACAACGTATTTTTAGAGGAGTTGGCTGAACTCTGCCTAAATCAAGTTAACGTACTTCGCAATAAGTTTGGCAAAGTATTAGATCTGGTTTATATTGATGATGCATCTAAGCCCGCTGTAAATAAGTGTGACCTGCTAGTTTTGCCCGAAGATGTCTACCACCCTGCTATTGAGATATCTTACGAAATATGCTTCTAATGCTCCAATTATTAAAAAGTTGAAAGAATTTAATGTTCTCTCAAATTAATTAGCCATAGATGTTTCTATGTCTAAGTCCGCTTTCAAACTACTGTTAAATGAAGCTAGATTTAATGTATGATATATTTTATCTCTATGTAGTAAGCAACTTTATTGAGCTAGATTACTATTGAAAGAATAAGTAAATAAATAAATAAAATCATAAACGATGGTCGAAATTGCAGTATTTAAATATACGAACCAAATATTCGCTTTGATTTTTCGAAAGCCAACTTTAAAAAACTGATTAAAGAATTGTCTAAATAGTCGTGGCCTGTATATAAAGAAAAAGTTGGGCAAAGCATTACACATTTTAATTTTACTGTACATAAATTATTTGAAAAGTATATGCCTGTAAACGCCAGTGTGTTCCTGAAGAACAAACACAGTTATGGTTCACTAAAGAACTGAGAAATTTGAACTACATAAAGTCACGTTATTTTAGATTACTCAAAAACCGGTTTACACTTATACTATGTAAAATACTCACTTTTGCGTCATAAGTTTTTTGAATTAAACAAAAAGTGTTATAAAGCTTACTTGTGTAAAATCAAACGGCGTATAATATATAACCCCAAATCATTTTATGATTTCCTAAACTCCAAGCAAAATATACGTGGGTTTCCTTCCGCCATGAAATATCAAAATACCGTCTCTAGTGATAATCAAAGAGTTTCTAACATGCTCGCTCAGTTTTTGAAATCCAGTTATTCCATTAACTCACATGCTAACATTGACTATCATTTTAAACTATGTCCAACTAACTCAATAAATATCCCAGTTATATTTCCCGATGATGTAGTAGTTTATCTGAAATCCTTAAAGCAGTCCTTTAGTTATGGCCCTGAACAGATCCCTACTTGTATTCTTACAAATTGTGCTGATTATCTCTATGATCCGTTAACAGCGTTATTTAATTTGTCTGTTAAAGAGGGCGTTTTCCAACTATATGGAAGGAATTGTTCATAACGCCGTTACAAAGAGCAGTAGCAGAGAACTACCGGGGCATAGCTAAGCTTTCTGCAATTCCTAAATTATTTAAAGCAATTATAACAAATCAGTTGACGCATTTTATCTCTTCTAGCATTTCATACAGTCAACATGGATTTTGCAAGGGCAAGTCAACTTCTACAAATTTACTTGAATTAACATCTTATATCTTAAAAGCATTTAGTGGAAGTAAAACTGTTTATGTTATATTTATATACCGACTTCATTTAAGCATTTGACAAAGTGGGCCTCTCGTTGCTCATCTATAAACTTGATCTTCTTGGTCTTCCACCTAATTTTCTACGTTGGATCTCTTCATACCTCTATGATAGATCACAAAGGGTATAGTTTAAAAATACTATCTCCGACGTCATTGATGTTACTTCAGGAGTCCCTCAAGGAAGCCACCTAGGCCCGTTTCTGCTCTTCCTTTTTATAAACGATGTTCCTACAAATATACAATTTTCCAAAATTTTAATGTAAGCAGATGATGTAAAGGTCTTGCTACAATCAGACTTAAACAGCCTGGCTTACTGGTGTAAAGTAAATCTTATGCCTCTATATCTTAATAAATGTAAAGTAATGTGCTTCTCGCGAAGAGCTGTTCAGCCCTCTTCTTATAAAATAGGTAACCATAACCTGGAACAGGTATACATTTTTGTCGACCTTGTTATCACAATGGATCCTAAGCTTAATTTTAATCTTTACATTAATGTGACAGTCAAGAAGGCTAAAGGTGTACTTGCATTTGTGAAACGATGGTCAAAAGAATTTTGTTACCCTGTTTACAACATTAGTTAGACCGATTCTGGAATACGGTTCGGTGGTTTGGAATCCAAGGTATCAAATTTACTCAGGCAAGATAGAATCAATTAAAATACAATTCTTACTTTTTGCTTTCAGAAATTTCCGTTGGGATTCTCAATATAACCTTCCGCTTATACGAGTCGCTTAAAACTTATTAATCTTCCTACACTTGCCAGTCGCAGGTAAATGCTTGGTACAATTTTACTGATAGGCTCAACTTAAAGTCCGGTACTTCTAAGTGAATGTAGACGTAATGTTCCCTCCCGGGTATCAAGACACTTTTGTCCCCTATTTCTGAATGCTTGTAAAACTAATTTTGAATTGCACGACCCACTCCGTTGCTTATGCCTGGATTTTAACTCTCATTCTATCACGTTTGATATATCCCATCCGCTTTTCAGTATTGAGAAAGCGGTACTCTCCTCTCTCAATAAATGAATTATTAACATAAAGACATAAAATCAGCTGATGAATTTAGTTCTGTTGCTGAATAGTTTTAGATCTCGACACTTAACAAACTCCTGCCTATCATGACTCGGCGCAAACATTTAAAATATTGGTTCCGTACGTCATGCGGACTGCGCCTCTCGTGCGGACGGGCGGGAATGGAGGGTAAAACCCGTTGGGATTATTATTATTATCAACATACTTTGTATGGAAAAAAATGCGAAACACCGGAAAAATTCAACAGTAAGTCCTAGGTACTCAATATTACACCTTGTTATACTAAAAGTGAATGGGTTGCAAAACTACTTACCAAAATTTTGACTAAAGATGACAACTCAAAATTTAGAAATTTCGGTAAAACTTTGCAGAATTCTCATAATTTTTGCACAAATTCCGATTTTGGATTTATATGGTGTTTTTTAAGTAATCAGCTATACTTTCATAAAAATAATAAACATTAAATAAAGAAAAATAGCCAAATCTTGCTTAAATGTCGTGTCCCAGTTTCTATTTGGTTCACTTTCAGGGTTGTGAAGTCTGTGATCTGTTTAAACACACACATACAGAACCTGCCAACCCCTCTTCCCGCTCCTCCGCTTCATCCCCTAGCCAAACGAAAAGTGTTCGTTCTTTCAAAAACCGGACTCCTGGCAACTCTGTTCACTTTATATACAACAAGGGTAGGCGGTTGAAGTCTTACCAATAAAAAATTCTATAGTTTTGTCAATTCTTTTGCAGGTCCGGTAAAAGGTAAAACTCAAGGCTAATGTTTCTACAGATAACACGATAAAAAGTAGGTAGTAGTATTTCGTTGAATTGAATTTAAAGACATTTGAAATTAAAAAAACGCCCGTCTTTTAAAAAAAATTTTGACTTTCTAATGTACGCGTTAATCAAAATGCAACATTTTTTTAGGAGTATGTGACCCGTAAAGTATCCAATGCCATTTGGATAACCCATGCCTACCAATTGTTACGGAAAATAGAAGAGTATGTAGGCACTCGAGTTCATATAAAACGGCAACTCAAATTCATTTCAAATGAGAAAACGAATTACAAACGCTGAATACTTATAACTGACTGAACAAATGTGAAAAAATGTGACGTTGAATTTGAATTTTTAATATTAGCACACTAAGCAACTATGCCTCACTCGTGTACTTGTGTACAGTAGCCATAATAGTCCCCCGCGGTCACCAATTGTAGGCACTCGAGTTCATATAAAACGGCAACTCAAATTTATTTCAAATGAGAGAACGAATTACAAACGCTGAATGCTTATAACCATGACAAAAACATAACAAGGTAAAACCATTGAGAGACAGTCTGACGTTTGCCAACAATATAATTTTAAAATCAAAACTCAAACTCACACACACATTCTCATTTTCAATCTCAAACAACAACAATTGTGAACAATTTAATTTTTTTATTTTCAATTTTATATGATTTTAAAATGTTGGCAAACGTCAGAAAAAAATCATGGCCGACGAAATGAGAGAATGAATTTACCTTGTAATGTTTTTATCATGCTTATAACTGACTGAACAAATGTGAAAAAATGTGACGTTGAATTTGAATTTTTAAAATTAGCACACTAAGCAACTATGTCTCACTCGTGTACTTGTGTACAGTAGCCATAAGTCCAAAATATGGTATGTTAAAAGTTTCGCAATATCTCAAACTATCTAATCAGCGACCAGAAATTAGTTTGGAGTAAACTATTCGATTAAACTACAACCGCAATGGGTAGTTATATGTGTGGATTATCACTCCATAGGACCTTGGTTCGATCCCTGGTCGGAGCAATATCTGTATTGAAAAAGTTTTTCTTGCAGCGGTCGCCCGTCGGTACGCAATGGTAACCCTCCGAGTGTATAATTTGGCGGCGTAAGATTGTAGGGCCCTCCATTTGTGTTGTAACGTCAAAACGCACAACACAATACCACAAGATTGTGTAAGCGCCAAAATGTTATTAAACTACAGGTAATCCTTTTATATTTTGGATTCTGACAAGTCAAATGCAAAGGTTTTTGTAAAATGTTTACTTGCATTGCATTTAGTTAGTTATATTCCTTACCTGGCGTTCTTAAGTGAACTAAGAACATCGAGCAAGGTCGATTTTACCGTAATGAGTTATATTTTTATATCTGAATATGTAATGTAACTTTTCCGGAACCATGGATCATCGTGTGGTGGCACAGGCTTTTGAATCTAGAAAAGCAATAACCATAATGTACAAACCATTTGCGTTTCATATTTGTTTTATTTTACGATCGCCGTTATCTGCGAATAGGCAAATAAATATATATCTTTTTATGATCTTTTTCTATCATCACTTATATTTTAGAGACTTTGAAGAGTACGAAAAATCGGCCGTGAACTATCAAACAGACACAATGGAAAAACCACCTTTCAACTACTCACATATAATCGGTATGGCGATGTTGGAGAATGGGCGAGTAACGTTGCAACAAATTTGCGCTTGGATTGAAAAAAAGTTTGCATTTTTTCGCGTAAGAAAAAAATGGAATGTGAGTGCGTATGTTTGAACTAAGTTTATGAAAATTGTAAGATTATAAGGAATTTTAAAATATTTAATTTATTTTATATATGTACTTCAGTTAAGGCTGAGCTAGTCGTTCTTCTGGGTGAGCAGTTAAAGTTGCACGGCTATACTCAATCCCTACTCTTGCTAGCTCGTTCGCACACTCTGGGCAACGTGAGTAAACCATTTGCGAGATGCGGTAACCAATCCGAGTGGAGCCTTGGTTCACAACATAAAGAGAAAGAGGTTCAATGGGGCCACTCCGACTTATTTCGTTTAAGTGCCCACTGAAGTCTGCGTCGATTCATTAGTAAGTAGGTGTGGCTGCAAGCGGGCGTCTTTTTTAGAACAAGCGCCTCGCTATATAACCTGTATCCGTTTAAAGGACTACGATTTAAGAACTTTCACTTGGAATGCGACCGCGACGTCTACCACAGCTGCCATTTGTGGTGGGAGAGAGACTGTGTCGTCGAGTACTGTTGTGGTTGTCGTTCACCGCGGTGGATGAGTATCTAGCCGCAATCCGCATCGAAGCGAGATTCTTCAACACCTGGCTTATTTGTACCCATGTCTCTTTTCTTTATCTTTTTTATGAGCGTTACTCCTGCCACTATATGATAATCGTGCTTGGCGATTTCAATGTCAGGCAGTGTTGCCGTTTAGCCCTTTGGTGGCTAGATACTTCTACCACATACTTTTTTGGCCACATAAATTTAAAATTGCCCCTAGCCCTTTTTTTAGCCTTTTGGAGAATTTATTCATACTTGGCATGAAAAAGTTGTATATACTTAATTTGATATATATTTTTTTCATTTATGAAAGAGATGAATTTTTAAACTAAGAAAGACTGATATATATACATATATGTATTGTATGTACCTTACGTTTTCATACATACATACTGCAAAAGTGTTAGGGCTGTTAACTTATCTATTAACGATTTAAATATAGTTTAAAATAGATAAGTTTACGGCCCTTAATATGCTTAATTTGTTAAATCGATCAAGTCGATTGACCGCGTATGTTCTTGTGATGTCATTGCCGGTGCGACTTCAAAAACTCTTTGAAAATGTTCTGATTGTACCAGCATGCTGGTGTCGTGAGTGGTGAAATTAGCTGAGTCAAAGCCGTGTGTGTGGAGGATAAGGTTCCCGATATTGCAGTTGTGAATTAAAAAAAAAACAATGTTTAACAAAATGGTAGTAAACTTATGAAATTTTGGCTCTAATCATTTCGATCTTTCCTCGACCTCATTTGTAAAGAAATGAATATTGAAGCAGTATGCTGGTAAGTTATATGCTTCGAGTATGATGGTAAAATCACTTGATGGGGCCAGCAAGCTGGTGTCGTATATTTTCCCTTAAATACAAAAGGGTTGTTGGTTGGAAAAATATTTGCTTTTTTCCAGAGTTCATTGTTTTTCTATACCATTACTTATTGAAAATGTTTGCGTGTATGCTTATAGATGTATATGTAAGTAAAAAATTTTAGCTACCATTTTTAGCCACAACGACTTTTTTTAGCTCTTTTTTAGCCTTTTTTTTAAAGGAATTTGGTGACCCCTAAAAATGATTCGCGGCAACACTGATGCCAGGATGAGCATGGAAGATATCTTTGGCCCCACTGTCGATAAACTCAACCTCCACAGCGAAACGTCTAATAACGGGCTGAGGCTGATCGACTTCGCCGGTTCCCGAATCATTGTAGTATGCAGTACTAGGATTCAGTGCAAAAAGATCAGTTAAGCTACATGCCTCTCTCTAAATGGAAAAACGAGAAACCAAAATGGTCATGTTGTGATAGAAGGAAGCATCGACTCCGACCACAATCTTGTTCCAACCAATATAGCCAACTGGCTCTGGCAAAAAAAGTACATCCAACAATGCAAGGAAGGCTCAAGGTCGGAAAGCTGCGATCACAACACACGGCCAATTTAGTTGCCACTCGACTCTCACACTTGCTCAACGAACCGACATATGCGAGCAGTGTAACCACATTTCCCGCCCATTATGTAACGCCGCCGAAGAGGTAGTAGAATTTAGGACTCCGAAAGAACTGGTATGATGAGGAATGTCACGAAGCTGTAGAGAATAACAAACCGCTTACAGGGCCATACTGCGATCGGGTGCCACGCGAGCTATTTAGGCCCATTATAGGGTGTTGAAGGGGGATACACCTTTTTCGCAATAAGAAGAGAAAGGCCGAAATACAGAAGTAACGAGAGCTTGAAACGCTGCGCACAGGAGTATTTGCACAGTATAACCGGCCAAAGTTATTTTGTGTTTTTCTACTCAGTATTAAATAAAACATGAAACTTAATCAAAATAGGGATTTATAGGGTAAAAATGACTAATTACACTTATCGAAGTTACCATAGGTCAACACAGAAAATTTTTCCAGAAAAAGACAAGAACTTGGTTTATGAGTTGGAGTATGTCATTCGTTCTTTCAGACTGGTTCTTAATTGCGAATAACTGCGAATTGTGCAGAATTTTCAGTTGCTAAAGTTTTAATGCTTTTTCAATTGCAATTAAATAAATAACTTAAACGTCAACATTCTCACCGAAGCTGAGTAGAGAGTATTATTTTCCAGTTTCATTGTCCTTCAAAGGATCTCCCGAGGGCTTTAAATTTTAAAGGTATGCAACTCAGGTAAATCTGGGATGGAAACTGTTGACTCTCGAGTGCACTTTTCGGCATTCGTTTTCTTATATTTTTAAGTTATACTAGTTTACCCGGCATTCTCCGCTACACCCTACAAATTTCAAAATGTAATTCTAGCTAAATATATGAAAAATATCTTAATATCAGGGGCTTAATGCAATGCTTATAAATAGGCGATATTCGTTCCTAGCACGTCGGGTGCGCAAAAAAATTTATCGATTGGTTACTAACCCGTGAACCTGAAAACCATCACGGTGCCGTACATTGGATAACCTTACAAATTTTAAAAGTATATTGTTCCTAATTTATTAAGAGTCATGAGAAAAATAATACATACATGGCTTTTCGAGAAAACTGACTTGTATTTGTATTCAATTTTTTTTATAAATTTATAAATTTTACTATGATATTCTCAGTAGATGGACAGAGATTAAGGTCGTATTTTTACCGAAGGCAGTAAACCTGAGCAGATGCCTTTATCTTACAGACCAATTAGCCTCAGCTCCTTTCTACTTAAAGCGTGGAGAAAATCTAGGATCAACACATCAGAGAAGCCAACCTAATGGAACAACCACTGGCTAATAACCAATTTGCCTCTCAACCAGGTAAATCCACTGAGACTGTCATTCATAGCCTTACGAGGAAAATTGAAAAGGCTCTGCAGTCTAAGAACAAAGCCCTTTGCGCCTTCATTGATACTTAAGGGCTTTTGACAATATCATCAAGAATTGGGTGCTTTCCATGCTAAAAACAAGGAAGAGGGGCACGGAGTTGGGAGGCACGAAAGAATCTATTACATCCATAAGGGACTGTGGATATAAACGAACTCATATTTCTACTGAACGACCACGGCTTCGAAACACAAAGCTATGCAGACGATCTGGTGACCTCCGAAACAGGGCTGCATGACGAAACGATCTCCAACCGCAATATGCTCTGCGCATTACACAAAGATGATGAGACACCAAAGGATTATCCATTAATCCTACTAAAACTACTCTGGTTTCGTTTCCCTCGGAGAAAAATTTTATGACGGAATATGCAAATATTTTAAAGGAAGCAAACTACCTTGGGGTGAGGCTGGATAAGACACTCACATGGAACGAATATTTGGATGCAACCGTCAACAAAGCGATGAAACTCGTATTCGCTTGCACGCCCTTTTTAGGAAAAATTAGGGACTCTCGCCCTAAATGTCACCTACTGGCTACTTAACACAGTTGTGAAGCCGTTAGTCACCTACGCATCCTTGGCATGGTGGACTAAGCGACACAAAGAACTGTTAGGACAAAACTAAGTAAACAGTCCCGAATGGTGTGCATTGGCATGACAGGTGCTATGCGGATCTGTTATCCTGATGCATGCAGTGTTTTTGTGGGTATGCCGCCCTTCCCAATCCTAATAGAGAATGTGGCTACCCTTTCGGCACTCAGAATCCTAACTACTCTCGAATTAAAAACCGGAGACCAAGTTTGGTGCACTGACGGATCAAAACTTGAAGATGGAAAAACTAGAGCTGGGTAATTTGGACGCCGAATTTTAAAAGATCGATACCAATGGGCAGCTACTCCACCATTTTCCAAGCGGAGATTCGGGCAACAGAGATATGTAGCAGAGAATGCCTCAGAAGAGGCACAAATTCTAAAAACATTTGCATTATGTCGGACAGTCAGGCTGTCTTGCTAGCGCTGAAGTCTCACACAACTACATCAAAACTAGAGAACGACTGCCTCAGCACCCTAAATGCTCTTGGAATCAAGAACAAAGTATTACTGGCTGAGCGCCGGGCATGAGAACAACGATGGCAATGAGCAGGCGGAACGCCTAGAAAAACACGGAGTTACCCTCAATTTGAATTTTGAAAATCTGACATGAGATTTTTAATCAGCAACCCGAGAAACCCACTGGAAACGAGTTTCAACCCTTGACAATGTTTAAAAACGTTCAGTATCAATGTTTTAATTTTAGTAATTTTTTTTTAATTTGATCGCCATATAGGATCCGCCATTTTGAATTTAAAAAAATTTACTTCAGATTCGTAATCGCCTACCCAAAAACTCTCGAGTGCCGGTTTTCGAACAAATCCAACCTTTTTTTTTAAATGGATCGCCAATTTGGATCCGCCATTTTGAATTTAAAAAAATTTACTTCAGATTCGTAATCGCCTACCCAAAAACTCTCGAGTGCCGGTTTTCGAACAAATCCAACCTTTTTTTTTAAATGGATCGCCAATTTGGATCCGCCATTTTGAATTTTGAAAAGCTGACTTCAGATTCCTAATTATTAAACCCAGAAACCCACTGGTAACAAGTTCCAACCCAT